TCATCCCAGAGTTACGAGCAATATTCTACGCAAGACCGCACCTGCTCCTTATACAACAAGCACAGTTAAATTGCTCGGGAGTGAAAAAACGCCGCACCTTGTTCAGGTCTCCAAGACATGTAAGGAATGGCGACGTTTTTGCCGTGAAAGCGCAGACCTGGGTTTTGTTAGCATTGAACTCAACCAAACCTGGTACCCCATTCAGAAATATGGTCCAAAGCCTGATTGAATTCAATGACAAGATTCTCCCGTTTCTCCTTGGTTACCGCCTGCCCAGTCGCTGCTTGTCCGTGATACCCCGCATGCACTGTACTATCGTATGCATCGCAATGAATATTCCCAAAAGGAATTAAATAAATAAATAGAACTGTGCCGGCAGACCGTATGCCGAAAGCTTGGTGAGAATGCTTTTGTGCTAGACCCTGACGAACGCCTTGGCAATGTCAAGGCTGATAGCCAACGACTCGCCACGCTTGTCGATAGCCTCACCCCAGATATGAGTCAAGTACGCTAGAAGATCACCCGTCGATCGTTTGGGTCTAAAACCATATTAACGATCATTAATCAGGGATTGATCCTCTCGGTAGCGGGTCAGATGGTTGTTAAGAACCTTTTCTAGGACTTTACATAATACTGGGGTGACTGCTATTGGCCGATAGTTTACCGGGTCTGAGGGATCCTCTTTTTTGGGCACCGGTTGCACGTTGGCATCTCTCCAAGTCTCCGGCACACGCCCCAAAGAATACGAGCATTAGTACAAGCGCGTGAGAGCGGAAGACAACTCCGCTGCACATTTTTTTGGTACTACTAATGGGATGCCATCAACCATCCACCAGCTTTCCGGATGTCGAGTGATTGCAATTCGACACGAACCTCACGCTCCCTGATTTTAATATCAGGCGTCGTTGTGCCACAATGAAGTAATGATGGTGGCAGTGCATTGCAAATATCGATTTGAGAGTTAGCCGCAAAGAGTTTTGCTAGTAAATTTCTTTTACGTAATTTTTACGTAAATAGCTTTCTCCCGTGGCTTATGAGCTAGTGTTCCGTCAGGGAATTTCAGAGGTGGCAGCGAGGGCTGGCAGAAGTTCTTTTGCACGGCCTTGGCCAAACGCCAATAGCTACGGGAGCCGGAAGGATGCGTTATAAGTTCGTGACCAACACGTGAAACGCGCTGGGCATCCGCTGTTATCCTTCTTACAGGTCTTAGAAGCAAAAATATAGACTGCTTTTAGTGAATCGACCCCGGGATCATTATGAGCGCGGCCTCTGATCCAAGCACGATATGCCGCCGGCTTACGCGAAACAGCTTCAGCACAGTGGTGATTGAACCAGAGGTTACGTGTGTCCTTACTGATGAGTTTGGAATGAGGAATATAGTATTGCATAACCATTACAATCTCCTCAGAATAGCAACGGCGCTGGCCGATAGGTCCTTGTCACTGAAGCAGCGTTGCTTCCAAGGGACGGACGCAAAGTTGTCATGCATACCGTCCTAATCTGCCGACCCATAGTGACAGATCCGGCGTTGTACCACCGTTGGACGCGGAGGCTTGGCCTGTGGCGCTTTGGTAGATATCGGGCAGTGATTCGAAGAGCCCAGAGCCCCCTTACCACAACCTGACAGCCCTGTGGATGGGTCGTGAGCAGAAGGCCCAGCAATAAAGGTGCTTGACTTGAAATATCTGGAATCCTGGTGGGCTGATCGACCAGTTGCTTCAAGTCAAGCGTGAGCAGAGCTCTGCATGGTTGGTTTTAGAGGAACTTAACCACAATTTAAATTTGTGGTGAGCATTAAATTCCCCCAAAAACACCAATTCTGCTTTGGGAAATTGTTCTTGCGCGTCATCTGCTGCCCGGCTAAGGTGTTCGAAAAGTCGAGTTGTCTCAACATCGCGAGTTTGGGTTCTGTAGAGGCACACGTAGACTCTGGCCTGGGGGACCAGAGTCGACGTGTACCACCAGCATGGAGTAGGAGGGATCTTCCAAGCAGCGGAGACGGCAACAACAAACATTCACCCGAACATACAGGCATACACCGGCTTTCGCTTTAAAGGACTCTTTAAACACGTAGCCCGGATAGTAAAGGTATCCTGTTTCAGCAGGCGGAAGTATTTGTGTCTTCGTCAACAATGCTGGGCGTGCTGTCTCGAGATAGTGGTCGACAGCGTTGAGGTTAGAGAGGAGTCCGCGTATGTTGCAGAACTCTACCTTAAACAGTATTGAAGGCGTGGGGGTATGCACCGCTATACACCCAAACTTTGTTTTAGAGGCTGCCATGGTGGAATTGAAAAAGAGACGTGAAAACGAGCGGGCGTCGTCGCGAAGAGTTCGGGCAAATTAGGGAGGTTTGTTTTCCCGAATGACTGCCTGCAGAGTCGATGCGCCGACCCGCCGGACAGAAGGGTCCCGCACCGGCCGCCGGGACCCCACGCCCCGGTCACCAACCGGTACGACGGTCCACCCCGAGATTATGCGTGACATGATGGGGCAGCCTTACGAACTGGTTAGGAACGCTCGGGCCCCTGTACTGTGCCACGGGCGGCCAGCGGGACAGCCGTTTCTACGGGTCTCCTTGGCCGGCGGGTCGATGCAGTCCTCCCGGCATCGGTTCCACGGATGCCTCCCCTGGACTAAATCAGTCGCGACAACCTCCACTCGAGCTCTGGTTGTACGCTGGCTGATCCCGAAACGCGCGATAAGCACTTAACGGGGTTTTCACCATGCGCACAGTGGTAACAAACCTGGCGGGTATTAGGCACCCTAGCATCAGAAGAGCGGATGGAAGCTCCGATATCCCTTATTCGCTTCTTACGACACCCACGCGAAGAGAAGGGGCGGTGAGTTGTATTCTTTCTCCGTCACCGCACTGATAAAATTGGTCTTAGTGTTAGGGCGTGTAGAGATAGAAGCATGGCTCTACGTGCGATCTGATAACTTTTTTTTCGTGCGAGTGATACATGATCCCGTCTTGGCAACATTTTCCATGAAAATGTTTTGGTGAGATCTTTTATTTAGTTCAGGCTTTCGGCACCTGTGTACGTCAAGAAGCCTCCCCATACAAATCTACGGCGGGGGACCTTGTACTAAGAAGCGGCAAGAAACTCAGCAAGATGTTGTTTTTTCACCCTGTAGGTATTATTTTAATACAGAGTCATCAAATTAAAAAATGAGGTCAGAGATAATTCATGAAGTCGTTTTCCATTACATATTTTTATTCTTTATTTCGAGCCTACCTTGTTCGAATTAGTCTATTTACACCGACTTTTTTATTGTCTAACTATAATTATCTCTCCTAGGTACGACAAGGCTGGGTGGCTTGTATTGCTTTCAAATTACCTTTATACAAGGATTTATTATGGATACCCACATTAAACCTGACTAATTTTTATATTGGGAAAATGAATAATACACGTAGACTTGCGGCCAAGCTCAGTGTCTGATCACAAGTCTACCCACTAAAAACCTTACAGATCGCCATTGGACAACTCTTGGCAGTACTAGCATCAGGCAAGACACCGGAACGGACAGTATTCTAAGTTATCCTTGGTGGATCCCTCCGACTCCGTTGTCGACGATGTACACAGAGCACGACTATATTGTCGTTGGGTCCGTAAAATACAGGGTCAAGGGACAACCAAGCCCTAATCCCACCGGTACTCTTGAAGTTCCAGACCAGCCGAGCTCAAAAAGTTATCTTAAATATGATCATGACTTTAATAAATAAAAATATAAAGACAAAAAGGTACGGACCAATGTGAACTTTAAGATATAATAAAAAAAGAATTTCCCTGTCTACCCGACTGACCTGTGTAAAACTCAAAAATAACGATCAAGCTTTGAACATAAATAAGTAATTGTAGGTACCTATTTACTACTCCAAAGACAGTGTAAGTGCTGGTGTACCTGGAAGCCGGTGGACTAGCAGGATGGACATTATTGATATACAGTACCTACAGTATCTAGAACTAACAACTCTCTTTTTAAAAATTGAGGTCCGTAACTTTGTAAAAATAAATCGTATTATGCAGAATCAATTTAAACATAAGTTTGGACGGAGGTAGGAGCATTTAAGCAGTGCATAGAAGGTATACGTAAATATTCAGTGTGTTGTATGGTTATGGTGGTGAACGGATGCGCTAAATTACCGAGAAATATTAAAATCGAATATTGGCATTTTATATTTTAATGCAATTTCGCGTAGACTCAAGAAATTATAATAATAATAGCTACTTAAATACGCATTTAAAACATTCAAAATCGCGTCGAGTACAGTGGACGCCGCAGGGTGGCAGTTTGTAAAGATGCAAGAAGTCTTCGAAGATGTAAATATATATATATATATATATATATATATATATATATATATATATATATGTATATATATATATATATATATATATATATAGGCCAGTCATATAGGTAAGACATCGTAGGTTGCAATAAATTGCACTTTGCTGATTTTTTGGTATGTTGTTAAGATAGTTACCAATACTGTAAAAACAAATTTGCAGCTTCGAAAGATCTGTGCTACCGCCGCGCCGTGGTACCCAAAAAACCTAAACATTTTCGGTCTTTGGTCGGCTTCAAGCTTATAACTTTTGAAAGGTCCAACTCATCTTTAAAGATACTATATACATTTTGAAGTAAATAAAATTATCTACAGTATATATGCCACTTTGAATCTGTAGAACTAAAAGATTTAAAATAAAGCACTACAAAATTTGGCTATTTTCCCTAAAATGTGGAAAATTGTAGTCTTAGCCGCATGCCGGATAGATTTTTGATTAGAATATTTTAATAATTCTACACGAAAAATTGTAAAAAAATAGAGCAGATCTTGAGTCAAGATTTTAATTTCATAAAATTTATGGCAGGTGCATAGGTTAATAGGTTCCGGCTGGATTCCGCAAACAAAAAGGAGGATCGAAACATAATAAAATCTTTTTTACAACAAGACGATAATGATAACTTTAAAGTACACGCAATGAATTTAGAAATGCAAAGAGTAGTTAACCATAGATGAGTTCTGCGTTCCATTAGCTCTACAGTGGCGCACTTTACTACTTGACCCCGTCATCATCTCTATCAATTATTGTCAACAGAAATATGTCGCTGGTACCACCAGGGGGCGCCGACTCTCCGAGCCCCCGGCGCGCCGTCAGCCCTCTGCTGGAGATGAGGAGACCTCACTGCACCCTCGCCTGCGACTACTGCGCGGCTGTCTTGGAAGACAAGTTCAAACGTAAGAATTTTTTTAGAGAGTTCCATACTTAAAAGTATTGGGAAGTGTTTGTTAACGCACGTGCTTTAACAAAAATTGTGACATATTGCAAATACACATATATTGCTTAAAAATGCCGAATACCACTTTGAGTTCAATTGCAAACACTCATCATACAAATCTCCTAGGGATTTATTGGTGTTTAAACAAATCAGTATTTATGTAAATAGATAGGTTTAAACAAATATATCGTGTGCTGATATGTTGCTTACTCACGATATTTTTGGATCAATTTATTAAGGTTTCAATCGTATGGATTGACATCCGAACGTTAACTCTAATATTAAATCCTTCAATTAATTATCGCGAAACTGAAACTTTATATAAAACAAACTAAATTAGGATGTGGAAACGAGACACCGTATAATTAAGGACTCTAGGGAATAATAAAATAAAACTTTGTTACACTCTCCATAAGCTATGCAGTATCGTTGGCCCCCCACGACAACGGCTAACTAGAGCCGAGGTTCGAGTCTCAGAGACGCCCTCTAGTTGAGCCGACCTTCTTAGGTTCGAGTGGTCTAGAGGCTCCAGACGGAGAGGAGACTCCCTCCGTGGGGAAATGACATCCGCATGGAATATCTCTAGAGGCAATCGCCAATTCTCGGCTTGAGGTCTCCTTAGGATCTCGCCGTCCCCAAACCCGGTGACGCTGTAAAGGTCAACTGCGACCAAAAGCATACACACTCTAAATAAAAAAAAGTATCGTTGGTAACGTACTCTTATTTTTGTCATGAGGCTTTTAAGTCAGAGTTATATATAACAAAATTATTATGCTTGTCTTTAATTGACTTTACAACTAATATGAAAGCAAAAAAAGACAGCAAAAAGCACTTACTTTACCAACATTATTTCGACAGGATTCGATGAAATGACTGTGCAGATATTTTGTTAATCGATCAATCCAAAAGTGTTTGACAAAAGCAAATTATTCCTGAAAATATGTAATAATGTCCATCTTTATTATGACATAGTTAATAAAATTGTAATAATAAAATACAGATCAAAATATATTTTATTTTATGTCCACAATATCCTCAAATCTCAGAGATTTTTTTCTTTCTTTGAGAATGAGATTGTCTCTTTCCTTTGTATAATTTAGGGCCCGTTTCCCAGAACTTGGCTATAAAACGGGTACGATGATCCCTCATGAAATGTAAAATAAGGAATATTATGCAGAATCAACAGTCGTAACTCAGGTGCTGTGAATTTCAAGATTTGTTGATTTATTATAATTCGAGGGCACCCGCCCTGTGTGACTGTGAAATTGAAAATGAAGAATTCGTGAAAAGTTACTAGGTATTAGCATAATTATTATATTTATGTTGAATTAACTAATTAAAGTTTTATAATTCTTAATCTTTATTTAAATTCATGACTCTTTTAAGTCTTCAATTAAACCGTAAATTTAGCAACGAATTGGATTATTGTGAAATGTCTAAAACATCAAATTACGGGTTAGGTACTTGAGTGGAATCGGTTATGTTTCAACGATCATGTTTCGCTTAAGTCACGGCTTTTCTACTCCCAACGATATTTCAAATTACACGATTAAAATACGGAACCAGATATTTGATTCGATAATGACTTGTCCTTTGTAGGTTTCCGAGTTTCAAGTAAACAAGTCAGCGTAACTTCCCATTGAAATTATTGAGGTTCCTTCTTTGAAGATAGGAATAAAATGTTGGAGATCTATAGAACATTTTTATTTTTTTTTATAAACTAGCTATAGTCCAGGCAACGAATGCTCAAAAACAGGTATAGAGGGAATTGCTTAGAACACAATTTTTGACTTCGTGACTTTGTTAGGACTAGTTAGGAGGTAAACATATCAAAAGTCCCCGCCCGTAGCCCTTAAGCCGGGGGGAGGGGGGGAGGGGCTTGAAGGTCACATTTTTAGGTTTTTCGCATATATCTCGAAAACTATGCATCCTAGCGACATGAGACTTTCACAAAAGTGAAAGCTGATTAAATTTGCTACAAGTCTTATTCAGTCAAATTTTTTGATATCTTGTATAGTTTTCGAGATATCCGCTCTTGAAAGTCTGTAATTATGGAAAAAAAATTTGTTCCCATTTTTGCTCTATTTGACCGGATAACTCTTCAACAATGCACCCAAAAAATAAATGCCGGCCGTAGGGTTGTAGAGCATTAAATTATCTTCAATAATAGAAACAATTGCCTTTTTTTTTATTTAAGGACAAAATTGTTAGTGTAGTAGACGTATGGGGGCGGTACGGTGGGCACTAGGCCGCGTACTCAGCCCCCACGCGCGGGCCGTCCTGCGCACGTCTGTGGGGTCCTCGCGATACCCCGGGAGACCCCTGCCGCGGAACCTCGGCAAATAAAAAAAAAAGGCAATTGTTTCTATTATTGAAGATAATTTAATGCTCTACAACCCTACGGCCGGCATTTATTTTTTGGGTGCATTGTTGAAGAGTTATCCGGTCAAATAGAGCAAAAATGGGAACAATTTTTTTTTCCATAATTACAGACTTTCAAGAGCGGATATCTCGAAAACTATACAAGATATCAAAAAATTTGACTGAATAAGACTTGTAGCAAATTTAATCAGCTTTCACTTTTGTGAAAGTCTCATGTCGCTAGGATGCATAGTTTTCGAGATATATGCGAAAAACCTAAAAATGGGACCTTCAACGGGAACGCTACTACGCGTGCGAAGGTAGTTAGAGGATGCCCCCAAGGGGGAGTCCTATCACCACTTCTTTGGAACATAGTAGTGGACAGTCTCCTACGGAGTCTGAATGACAGAGGATACACTACTATTGGTTATGCGGACGGCCTAACAATTCTGATAAATGGGAATGCTGAAAATGTCCTTTGCAAGGTTATGCTTTCAGCCCTTCAGATTGTGGAAAAATGGTGTGACGAACATCACTTGTCAGTAAACCCGAACAAGATAGAACCTTTTCACCAACAAAAGGAAGCTACCTGAACTACAGTTACCAAAACTGTTTAATACCAAACTCTCCCTGTCAACACAAGTGAAATATCTGGGCGTAATCCTTGATAACAAACTGAATTGGGCGAGTCATATTGATCTAAAAACAAATAAGGCCTGCATTGCTTTTAATCAGTGTAGAAGACTAGTTGGTAAAAAGTGGGGTCTAAGTCCAAAGATCACCCTTTGGTTATACACAGCAGTCATCAGGCCCACCACCACCTGAACCAGAGGTTATAGAACCTATGGTTCAGTTGTTTGGTGGCCCAGGACCCTACTGACCACAGTGAAATCCAATCTCGAAAGTCTACAACGCTTGGCGAGCGTAGCAGCAACTGGATGCATGAGAACGACTCCATTGGCTGCATTAGAGTACCTCATGAATTTAAGACCATTGGACCTGGTCATACAAGAAGAGGCGAAAGCAGCAGCCTTGAGACTAAAGTCTCTAGGATTACGGAGATTAAATACTGTAACAACACACTCCAATATCCTACAAAAGTGCACGAAGGAAATCCCACTCCTGGAGGCACCTATGGATAGAATATTGAGTCAACACGTCTTTGATCGAAGATACAACATCCAACTTACCGTGGAAAAGGCAGATTACTCTGGCACTGGGGAAGTTAGGATATACACGGACGGCTCCAAAACCAACAGTGGTACTGGAGCCGGTGTCTTCTCAAACGACCTGAATATAAAAATATCTACAACCTTAGGCAAACAAAGCACAATCTTCCAGGCGGAATGTATTGGCAAGCGACACAGGCGGTTGCAGCCAGAGATATCAGAGAGTATAACATCAAGATCATCTCTGACAGTGTATCTGTGCTTCAAGCCTTACGTAGCAACACAATAAACTGTGTTCTAGTAATAGAGTGCCACAAGGCACTTCAATCCATTGCGGGTAGCAACACGGTAACTCTGCAATGGATAAAAGGACACAGCAGCTCAATTGGAAATGACGCAGCAGACGAGCTGGCTAAGAGGGGAGCAGACACAAAAGTGTATGGTCCGGAACCTTTGCTGCCCATACCTAAGGCCCAAATTAAAACGTGGCTGCGTGAAATAACTCAGAAATCACACTTGACGGAGTAGAAAACAGGTGAAGGATGCCGGCAAACGAAAAACGCGGTTCCGGTGGCAAATAAAAGTTTTGCCCGCAACCTTACCAGATTAAATAGGGACAAACTTCGCAGGATTATAGGATCCCTGACTGGTCATTATCCCCTAAACAAACACCTATATACAATAGGAGTGACAGACAGCCCCCTATGCAGAGCATGCATGGAGGGGGAAGAAACGCCACAGCATGTCATCAAGGAATGGAGGAGTGTGACCGACCAACGGGCACGACTCCTCCAGTCGCCAGAATCGTTTCCGGAAGCTTGCAGCAGTTTACCAAGGCTGCTTTCCTTCTGGACCGATATAGGCTGGCTGGAGGAAACGGGAATGTTTTTGAGACACGCACAATGGTCCAATAATTAGGACTAAGTGCGGAAACTGCCCTGAAGAACTATCTAACTAACTGCTATTAAAAAGTTCTTATAAATAAAGCGTCTTATAAGCGGTCTGATTATATTTCAGACAAAGATGCTTGGGTATAAACTGTTCCAAAAGTTCTCTTCCTACTATATTTATGATAAAGATGACCTAATTATGTATTGGCACTGTTACAACATAACATTTTTTAAATATTGTTACAAGATTTGACGCTGTGAAGTTCTTTTCGCCTGTTTATCTTCACATCTAAAAAAATGTCCTTAACATGTGGTAGGGAAAAAGATATGGACGATTCAAAAGAGTTGTATTACGCTTCCTATTTCAATAAATATATTTTGAATTGAATTTAATTTGCCAAGTATTATTTAGTCACATGTATTGTTTGGCAAAACATACTCAACATAAACAAAAAAAAAGGTTTTTGGCTTTTACTGTTGGGATTTGGTAATTTGTACAAGTAAATGTAACACGAAACGAAAACTTGCTAAGTACATAGAATCATTTGGGAAACGAAATTAGTGCGATTGGTTTCAAAAGAGAAAGTTAATTTTTTTTCCCAAATACAGGCAGTGCGGAGATGCGTAACCGTGGCACGTCTCCTCTGTCAGCATCTCCAAGGCAATCGCTTACTGGGGAACCACCCTGGACTCTGCCAGATGACGACAGACCAGACTTCTCGGCTCTCAAGGAGAACATACACAAAATCAACAAGTAAGTTTAAGATGACAATATTCTTTACCATCGTTAGTTTTCGGCAAACAATTTATTATGCAAGATTTGGTTTGGAAAAAATATTGTAAAGCAAAAGTAGTAAAAGGGAAGCCAAGCAATGTTTTGTACGGCAACCGTACAAACGGTCTCGACTGATTCCTCCTAGATCGTTATCACTAAAGAAATAATTTACATACATAAAATATAATTTTACTCATTCCATGCTCCGATGTGTTCCTTTTTTCGATAACCTGTGTTTTAAAGAAACTAGAATTTCTCAAAAATGCCAAATACAAACAATTTTTCATCACCACTAAAGAAAATTAATAAATGTTTGTTCAGGGACTGCGAAACATCAACCAGGTTGGACATGCTTCTCACTCAAGTTGAACAATATGCCAACAATCTGGAGGCTCTAGTGGAAGAACGGACTTCCGACTACCTTGAAGAGAAGAGGAAATGCGAAGAGTTGCTGTACCAGTTACTACCCAAGTAATTATAATTGCTAAGACTTTGCATTACCATGTATGTACTTTTACTTATATATATATAATTAAATGTATATAATATATATTACTCGATTGACAATTCAGTATTAAGCCAAATCAATATGAATTTAAAATCAAATAACGACTAATTTACAGTAATAATGAACTTTAATGGCCACTATCACTTTCTTTGCAATAGCAAAATAATAAGCTTTTTTATGTAATAAACTCAGAATAATTAAGCCATTTCCTGACAGTTGTGTCAGTTAGGGTCGTATATGGTCTATTGGATATAACATAGTTTAAATAGTAGTTGCTAATATTGGATCACATAACTTTTATAAGTATGAAAGTTAAGTACATCTCAGTTTCAATCAATCAATATCAATTCTACTTCGCTTAATCAAACAAGTTACAACATAAGAAAAAATCGCGTAGACCGCGTTACATTTACGAATGAGTACTCATACGTTTTATACAGCCATATCAGATGATGCCAGACAAGATGATTTTGCGTTGATTTAATGCCCCGCTGATTCAAATACCCTGAAGTTAAAAGATGAGTTTGTGGTAATCTTGATTGTTAACGAAAAAATAAACCCAGGAAATCTGCAGTGTATTATTATTTAGTATTATTATCACAATATACATATACAGATACGATAATTAAATTAAAATGAAAGGCACAGGGAAGATTGTACATAGTTATTAAAAAATAAAAAAACACTCTTCAATGTTTCAATATTGAGAGTGAATTAGAGAGTACACTTGTTACACTCTATACAATAATCTTCTATATTATAATGTGTAGTACTTGCAGAAGAACCTTTCTCTTTTAAAAATAAATATAATTAAGAGGGATCAAATAGAGACATAATAATTTAAACTGCGGTAATACTAGTTTCTAGTCTTAACAAACTTGTAAGCAAATTTCAAGTTTGAAAGAATCAATCTCGTGTTATTTGAAAATAGAATATACAGTATGCTTCGACTAAAATTAAAATTGCTGCAGAATTGTAGGTACGTTTCAAAAAGGTTCACACCTCAAGATTTTTAACACTTCGCAGATCAGTAGCCTCTCAGCTGATCATGGGCCAGCCAGTGATGGCCGAAACATATGATCAGGTCACCATCTACTTCAGCGACATAATCGGATTCACGCAGCTGTCAGCTGAGTCGACGCCACTCGAGGTCGTTGACCTTTTAAACGATTTATACACCAGTTTCGATTCCATCATAGAAAATTTCGATGTTTATAAGGTACGTACTACTTGGCTACATCATTTCGCTTAAAGGGAACTGCGAGTATGACGCAGAATTCCCATATAATATCGCAATTGATTGGATTGGATGGATACAGATGGGTAAGTATTGTCATTTTATAAGATATCGCAGTGAAATAAATTGTATATACAACAATATATGGTTATATGACTGCAATATTTGTTCAGTGGGAATTAAATTTTTTACCACTTGTACCCATTATGTTCCATAGACTTGTTCAGAATAGTAAAACAAACAAAAACAATAAAAACATTTGATTCATTTAAATAGGGCTATATGGTTTCCGTTCTCAGAGGTTTACTCGGTACTGGTACAAACCAGTATCTAATTTTGTAATCACTGACTATTTATATTTGCATGTACACAATGTACAAATACTTATGTAATACTCAGGTATCCATATTGTAGAATTAAATTCTACCAAAACTGATGCAGGAACTGCAATTTCAGCGATATTATTCATGGCTGCCGCAAGTAGTGGTTTCCTGTTGGAAGCAAAAGCCGGCGAGGTATCACAAATTCAGTAACTGCTCATTTTGCTGAGTTGAGATACCAACGGCGTATGTATGTGATTACAATTTTAACAATAGACTGAACGTCATGCTAATTTAAATTTCAAAAGCCGGTGATGATCATGCATGCAGCAGTATGGCCTCAAAATTTTTCACAAAATACCTACGTTAGAATTGTCATTACTATTCCATGATTCATAATCATTAAGAGCAAAAAAAATCTTCCACTTTTAGTATCGGTTTTAAAATATCAAGTTTATTTATTTTTGGTAGATAAATATCAAATTTGAGATTTCACTTTGGGTATATAATACTTGAAAGTTTGCCACTATCAATACATCTCTCGCAAATGTTGAAACAACTTCAGTTATATTTCGTGTTAATAGAGGCTTTATGTTATTATAAGTTTTTTCAGTTTATTGTACTCTTTTTTATAAACTCGCTTGTCAATGTCGCAACTTATGTTTGAGTAGCACGTAACAGCCACTATAAGTTTTTCTGTTTTGATAGTAAATTTTGTAAGTATTGTACATATTGAAGTGTGATTTATTCTTAAAATACACCCGTTTTCAAATATTTCGTATATTGCCTTGTCCTCTAATCATTATGATTCATTTTAATTCAACCAGAAATTTCTGTCAGTAAAACGTGGATTGAGTTAGCTAGGAAATTCTGTGTTATTTTTTGTAGCATAAAGTGGTGAGAATGGCAAATGAAATTATAGATTCTGCTCCCTTCCTAATTACTGCCACTTCACTACCTTGTTACGGCTTAGAACAAATAAAATACTTCTAAGTTAAAGTATCATTTAATAAATTTGACGACTTCCGTGGTCGAGTGGTTTATACACCGGGTTTTAATGTCGTTGCCGACTCGAGAGGTCCCGGGTTCCAATCCCGGTGGGGGCAGATGTTAGTGTGATGAATACGAGCATTTGTACTCCAGTCATGGACATTTAATATGTATTTCTATATAAATATACTTATATAATATGTACAGTATATGTATTCTATCCGTTACCCTAGTATCCCATAATACAAGCCTTCAATGCTAACTTTGGGGCTAGGCTAATTGGGCTAAATAACACTCACAAGTGTTGGAAATATTTATTTTATTTATCATTAAATGTAGCAAATTATTACAAATCGACTAAAGTTGATTTCATTATAAAAAATACCATGGTAAAAGCAGTCACAATTGATTTTCACTTGGCATAGTCCTGACCCATTTCTTTCGCTCCCCGACATCGATCTCATCTATTGCTGCATACATGCTCGTCAATTTCCTCATCTCGATGAAATTCCACAGGAAGAATTTTTGGCAATACAGTAAATGTGATGGTTAAGATCCTATTAGTTTGCTGTAATTTCTCGGTGATATATTTTTATATTTACCTTAAATGTCACCAAAGGTATGGTCACGCAACTAGGAGTAGGAAACCCAAATTTAGTTAAATTGAATTCGTAGTAAAGCCGCTAGTTTTTTAAAAAGATTGATTAAATTTATATAATCGTGTGTCGAAATTCTGAATATACTTTATTTTATTTGAAGTGTTTCACTATGCGCTTCATCTAGTTTTATTTTTATGTAAAAGGGGTAGCATATAAGCGTATGAACCACCTGATAGCAAGAAATCACTATATACTATATAAACGCTTGCGACACCAGGATATCACTCATCACTCGCACTTTGCCAGCCCTAACCCTACCTCCTACAACTTGGAGCCTTGGAAGCTTGCTAAAAGAAACGAACACTACTCCATGAATTCATAGTATTATACGATATCACTGTGATCTTCTGTAAGGTTTAAGTTACTTTGTCAAACGAGCGCCCCAATTCAAACGGTAAATCCACTGATGCTCTCTCTACCGATATTAATCACATATCTACTACATTTTATTTATTAGAAGGTACATAATGCTTGAAAAGAAATGTCAAACAAAAAACCGTTTAGCATAAATCCAAAACAACCTAAAAGCAAAATTATTACTGGAAAGAAAGTTATGGATTTTGCAAGAAAAATGTGAATTTCATTATTTTTACAAGATGTCTGCCAACTCAAATATACGTCCTTAGTGGGCGTATTCTTGACGTTAACGAAACATGACTGTGCACATTATTATGTAATGGAATCTCCGTGAACCTCATTTTATGATTTTATACGCAAATAATAAGTAGTAGGGAGCTATTCTGGACATCGTTTGTATTTTTAGGTACTGTATATTAAAGAAATACGACCTTATGGTTATGGTTGACACCGGTTTTGATTGTGATATCATCTTTCACACTTGCGTTATCTGATTTTGTCATAAAACAACTGTGTTAAATTTTCCGATCAAAACAACCTGATGTTGTTTTTAATATAAGCATTAAAATGCATAAAGATGCACTCGAGGAATTCCTCGATCCTCTCCCAGAGATTCCTTTCTCCTCTCCAACAGATAGCTATCTTGAGAGGCTGATATACCAGATCTGATATGTCCTGATATATCGGGATGAGAGGATAGGAGTCTCATATAACCCCGTCGCTATACCCAGCGGCAGTCTATGCGTCAAGCATTTTCTCTGTGTGAAAAGAAAGGGTCACGATAGCATAAAGGTTAGTGCATTTCCTCGGAACGCGAAAGGCACCAGTTCGAATCCAGCCTTATACAGGCCGAGTAGATTTCTTCGTTTCTAGTCTCCTCTATGAGACTTTGTCCAATTCTATTTAATTATTGATAAATGTCTGCAATATCACTAACGCTTCGATATGGTTCTAGGTGGAAACCATTGGGGATGCTTACATGGTGGTATCTGGTCTTCCTATGAGGAATGGCAACAGGCACGCGGCCGAGATTGCTCGCATGTCGCTAGCGCTTCTAGGTGCTGTGCGCGTTAAAACGGTTCCGCACCGACCTGGGGAGAAGTTGCTTCTAAGGATCGGAATGCATTCAGGTTTGTGTTTCTTTATTAAGATGATATTCTGATGTTTGTTCAGGGCGTAGAAAAGGAAAGTGATACAGACTCGCCTATCACGATAAAAAAAATCCGCCTTTTAAATCAGGGTGGAGGTTAACTTAGAAGTTAAACTGATATGTAATTAGAAAATGCTTTTAATAATCAAGTCTAAAAGTAATATTTTTGCTTCATATAATTATTAAGTAATAATGTTTTTTCTATCCTTTCAAAAACCAGTAACGCTGACATCCTTTATTAATATTTATATAAACATCTATGTTGCTTTCGGATTGTCTTTTTCTAAGACCGATATTTCAGTCCACATTTATATTAGAAAAGAAATCGAATAATTAATTAGATTATTATTTGAAGTAATTAAAATAATATTATATAAATAATTTACTGGACATAGACAACAATTAGAACATATTTTTTTATCAAAATGAGGTCGTACGCTACATACTAAACTTTTATATTCCGTACACTTGATGACATTAAGTACTTCTAGTTGATTTTTGATTCATGGTCTTATTTATTCATGGTCATTTTGATACACAAATTAATTTCATCGTTTAGGTCCGTGTGTTGCCGGTGTAGTCGGTCTGAAGATGCCACGATATTGTCTCTTCGGTGACACAGTCAACACAGCGTCCAGAATGGAATCGCACGGCGAAGCACTAAAAATTCACGTCAGTCCAAAAACCAAGGAGGTCTTGGATCTTTACGATTGCTTCGAGCTGGAATGCAGAGGAGAAATCTCAATGAAGGTAAAAATTTGTAGATACTCTCATGACAATAATCAAGATAAAACTACGTTTATGCAATAGACTTTGGATTTTTATAATTGTTGCTGCCCCACACTGCCTTTGTTAATATTTCTTTTAAAATGATTAATTTTTAAGAGTTTAAAATTTCAAATCGCTTAAGAAAAGATAATTATGACTAACTGACTGACTGATGAAAACCAGAAAAATAATTACGACTTTTTCCTTAGCTTGAATTTTAAAAACTGTACTTTTGAGAAATTTCAAGTTTCACTTACGGATAAATTTAAAAAATTGAGTTGATTTATTGGGAATGTTAGAGTTACAGCGATTTGTTATCATTAATTTAATTACTTAATGCATTTGTATTTTTAAAATCAGTATTTCATTCCACAGTAGAACTAGGTATGTATTCGTAAACTGAAATAATTTGATTGAATTCCTGTAGGGCAAGGGCAAGATGACTACATATTGGCTAATCGGAGAAAAATCAAGCAACAACAACGACTCACCTCAACAAGTGAACCATACTCAAAATGTCATTGCAAACCCAAGCATCACATTTCAAGGGCCCGATAGTCCTGCATCCCATTCACTAACACAAAGCCATAGTTCAGAACGACTCAATGATACTAAAGACACTAACAACCAGACCCCATATGAAATTCAAAGTGAACGAGATCGCATCAAACATGAAATAGCAACATTCGTTGCTAAAGACCTTATTCACAACATCGATAACGCAGTAAGAGAATTCAGGAAATCTCAAAGCGCAAATTTTGCAGCGGTCACCAGTGTTACTAAGCCTATGTGTAATGGTAAAGAAAAAGGCCTAATAACCCCGACTTATGACAAAGAATTGGTAATCAGCAAAGGCAAAGTACGAGATGTTGTTAAAAAATTTAACAATTGTGTAGTGAGCGAAGTGTCCAACAAAACCACAAAAGCGAAAGCATTGAAATCCGAAGACTGAATTAAATGAGTTTATTTTTCTCTTTATTCTCTCACCGGTCCAACTAGAGTGACTCTTGAAATCAGATTTGATATCCTGACAAAATTTTATTAGGACGTTGTATTTTATTGTGCCAAGCACACAAAGACAAGAAGAAATTTATTTTTAAGTCTAGTTAATAACGTTAGATTCGAACGATTAAAATGTATTTACATAAGTATCGAAATATACTCTGACGAGCAAAAATAAAGATATGGCAAAAATACAAATACCGTATGCCTAATATCAGATAACATTCCCTTGACATCGTAAACGTCATTTACATGCACAGGAAAATAATATTTTGATGAATTAGTACTGTCCGGTGCTTTAACTTTGCTTGTCAGTATTGTTCGTATGTAGTAATGGGTGACCAATTTACCCTCCGAATTTTATAAGTAAATTTTCGGTGTTTAGAATATACCCGTAGGCTTAGAAAGGAGACCGCCACCGCGCTCTATTTGAAAGATGTAGTGAGATATTGTGTGAATATATAAAATATAGGGAGAACTATTGTATTATACACTTTAGCCCCTGTAGTATTTTTACTGACCTTTTATACTTCCGTACCTTTCTAATCTATGGTTAAGTTAATGGAATAAAAATTAGGTCCTACCCTTTCATCTGTCGTCCTTTGATTTGATAAAGTTATAGTATGTATAGAGAGTTATTTAAATTACACATATTTATAATTACTAATGAAAATACTATTTATGTATTTGTAGATATTTGAATGAAATTTTTATCTTTGACATGATTGTTAATTCTGTTTAAGTTTATTAAATGAATATTATGAGAATGTTTATGAAGATCTTGTTATTTCCTTCAATATAAATGGTATAATTTTGAAGCAAAGTAGAAGTTTAATAAATAAAGAGAAAATATTTATATAGAAAATATCTTTTAGTTGGAAAATATTTTTTGTGTTAGATGAATGGATGTTAAATACTTTGGAATTTTTGTTTCTGCCTACCTTATAAATTTAGATAAATTTTATGTTTGAACAATTTCAAAATAGTATTTAGTTTTTGTCTTTTGTGACCATTAAAATTATGTATTTTTTTGTTACCTATATACTTAGTAGAAATTATTTTGTATATAAAGTAAAAATAAATTTCCCGTTGTAAATGGAAAGAACTTCCCGTTTATATAATTGTAATAAGTTTCTTTTTATATAATGAATAAAGTAAACTCCATGTTTACAATCATTATTTAAAATACTACATATGAAACTGTTACCCATCTTTAATTTTAAGATATCCTAGTTAATATGAACGAATGATCTCTTTTCTTGTGATATTTAAGTATCATTTATTATTGAAGTACAATTTACTATTTTTAACTGAGCTGTGAGAATTTATTGTTAACCTTAATTCAAAGTATTTAAGACTAAGTTTATTGTGTGTTGAATCACGTTTTGAACATCGTAATGAATAAACACATATGCGTAAAATATTTTGGTTTTACTTATAATAGGTTTATGGATACTTAAGTTGGACACTTTCGGTAATGTTAATCGCTTTAAAGATTCTCAGTACCGTGAACAAGGGACATAGTTACTATTCAAGCGAATGCTACTTCCCATTCATGGAACTATGAAATGGCATAACTGAGAGCAAGCGTATCTACTAGGGATCACTTGAAAAATGTGGGTTTAACAGTAACATAGATAGTATTTTTAATCTACACTCATGTCGAAATATTCGAATTACGAATTTAAATATGGTTTTATAAAGACGTACCTTATAAACGACCATATGAATGACGACCTCCGTGGCCGAGTGGTTTGTACGCTGAGTTTCATGCTGTCGCCGACTCGAGAGGTCTCGGTTTCGAATCCGGGTGGGGGCAGATGTTTGTGTGATGAATACGAGCATTTGTACTCCAGTCGTAAATGTGTAATATGTATTTCTATACAAATATACTTATATATGTTCAGCAGAGGCCGACAGACGCCGCCAGGAGGGGAGTAGCCATAGTGACACAACACTACTGAAATCATTATGCCGCTTTTTGCGGGGGAAGAACGTGCACACAAAAATGCAGTTTAACATACATTTGCAAAAATCGAAATTGTAATTACGACACTCACACATAAAAACGACACAAAACACTGCCAAATCCTGTATTACATATTAAATTTTTTGAGCACAAATAAGTTACGACTCACATTTTGTCACGTTGTTTACGTTAAAAGGGCTTGACTCCGATTTATCGACACCGCAGTATCGATGAATTTGGTTATCGCCATTACCACAATAAGGTGGATGAAATATTGGTAAAAATGTGAGGAACTGAAACAATCATATTAAATTCGACAGCAATGACAACATCGTAAGTAAAAAAAAATATGCAGTACGGTTGAATAAAGATTCAATAATTAATAAAACTGCTATAACAGATTGTTTTGAATCAATATTTGGTAGTCCTGTAAACAGTTTTAAGTACTTTAAAAATTTTGTATCGGTTATTCAGTTTACGCTATTACAAAAAATGCACATATAAATTACGTAAATCCTCGAAACATTGTACTGAGAAGAACTAGCAATGTCTTTTTTTGTGCCTATCCCAAATAACACAATAGTGCAAAATGCAGCTTTCCTTAAAGCTTTAATATCTATAATGATGGCATAATGGAATCAGGATAAGGCTCGAGTTCGATACCAGCTAAAATTATAGCTCATGGCTGCAACAGAATCCTATGGTTAAAAGGGACACCTTATGGCACCAATAACTCCGAAGTTGTTAGATTCGTATCTTCTTTGCCACTTTTAATCGCATGTTATTCTAGAATATCTTTGATTGCATTGGATTAGTAATTGTATATATTAGCACTTTTAGTTGCAGTACGTTCCCCCATTATAAAACTCTGCCACTTCTGCATCAGATAAGAAATTGTGACTAATTTACTTCTTACGATTTCCGTTATGCGTGTGAGGAAAAAAATATGCTGAGCTTGTAAAATTAGATTTTGTAGAACTACTATGGGGTCTGGAGTTTCATGATAGGAAATAATAGCTTTTCAATATTGAACCTAAATTTCGTTTTATTACAACTCAAGGCACTGTTTAATATAATAATAAACATCATATATTCATTAATCACCCATAATAAAATAGCGATACACTTATTGAAATTAAGACAATAATTTGGGGCTCGCAGCTACAAATTCATTCAAATTTCATAAAATATTCAATAAGTAAAACTACTATAGTAATAATAAAAATAAAATGGTTGCCTGTAAAGTCGGTTTTACGGGCGAAGATTTTACGTGACAACGTCTTTTTCTCGGTAGAATATTTATTGATATGAATATAATTAAATTGCACAATAGGAACAAGGAATTGAATGAAAATAAGAATTGCACAAATTTTAACTATAGAAATATATTTTGTTTACTAAAACATTGTACATGTAAACTTAAACTTAACACGAGAGACTCATCGTAACGTTACCGAGCGTTACACTTTTTCATAAGTGACTCCCAGCCGCAACCTAATTTAAGACGTTGTCACGTCAATAATAATTTATTTTCCTTTACAATAGCCTTCTTAATAATATATCGATTGGAGTCTCCATTTAAGCAAATATTGCCTGTGTTTGGAGGCTCCGCTCTTCCTTAACTAATAAAGTGATTTACAAACTCCAGTATAGTTACAGTAAATGAAAAAATGAACATGCAAAAAACTAAAAGAAAGAATGAACGAAAATAAAATAAAACAAAACAATAAACAGACGATCTACGCTGAAAATAATTTTAAATCCCATTAAAAGGACTTAAAAAGCTAAGCAAAAGTATTTGCAATTAAGAAAGGTAATGCAGATGTTGTGTGCCATGTGTGCGTGTGTGTTTGTGTCTTTATGTGTGTGTGTGATTAATTTTATACATTGTTTTATGTCATTTATAAAATACGATACAGTAGAGGTTCAGTTTCTTCATACGTTCGAGGCTGAATCCATTTAATTAAAAGGCTCTTACACTCGTGATGATTTTTGTCATATATGTTTATTTCTTTATTTATTTTATTATATATAATAGTGATATGATAATAAATTAATATTTGCAATTTTTTAAATTATTTGATGATTTTGACATTTGATGAGGATCATGGACCATTTTGAATAGTCTTGTATATATATGTATATATATATATATATATAATTACGTGAAAAGAAAAAAACATTTTACCAAACTAGTATATATGGATGACTGGATGGACGAAAAAGGTAGGATTTTCAACTCCAAAATTTTCAAGGAATAGTGATGAAATTAAACAAATTATAATTTTACTACAAGCAAATTTTTAGCTTAAATATTTGATTTCCTGAAATTAAAAGTTATGGTCGTCCCATTAGAAGGGACAAAAATTTCTCTTTTCTATATCGACCTTTGTTATTTCTTATTTGAATCACTTATTACACTGCAACAAAATTAGAATATACCTCTCAAATATGGAACTCATGTTATAAAAAATATAGTGATCAACTTAAAACTGTAAAAAAAGTGTACGTCCATGCATACATGTTTTTGGTTCGTTAGTAAATTTATCGCCATGTCACTACTGTAGAGTACAACACTAAATCGTTCAAAGAGAATATTCTGATTTTTTGATTGACGGATCCATACTGACAAGTCTTTTGTTTTGTCAAACAAGTCCGATGATTGTTTTTTTAACAAAATAATATGTTTTTTTCTGTTTAAAATGCCGTGTTGCTCTATGCTGTATTCGTGATATAAATGCTTTTAATCACTAAGCAGATCGTATTTTGTTTTCGGGATTTCAGAAAAGTTTTACAAAATACTTCTTTGTTACCTAGCTACTTTGTTTCATTTCAAATTGTTTATATGAGTGAAGATAAAGCACACTCGAGTCAACGTATTATCGCGTTCAGCTTTGCCTCATGCGATAAACATACTCTCGTGTTTTAATCTCCTCTTCCCCCTCGGAAGCCACTCGGAGTTGACGTAAGTGCATAAATCCGTTTATAAATAAATTAAATAAAATTTTAAAAGTTGTAAAAGTCCTTCTGTGCGTGAGGATTGAACCCGAGCACTGTGATTAAGTGAGCCTGTGCATTTTGCACTGAGACCACAATTGCTTAGCGCACCGCTTCAAAATAAGCAGCCGCTCTAGATCTTTTTGATGTGCTACGATCTCTGCGAGTGTGAGTGACTACGAGGTTTACGATCACTAACGAAGAATTACCGGAACTACGGAATGCTCAATTGTTCACGCCACTACGAATACACATAATTATTAATTAATTCATGAAGAATAAACAAAACAACTCCGTGTTGTAACACTCATTCGATTCGATTATTGAAGAGTATATTACGCAGGTGGACGGAGTTGTTGTATGCAAAAGTGTTACAGTGCAAGCAAGTGATTCACCCCAAATTATAATTTACTTTTTTCTTTTTTGTTTGTTTTTTAATGTTGCTGAAATTTTAGTTTTTCATTTAAAATCAAATTTTCTCAACAATGTGGTGGTGCCTTGTAAATTTATTATATTGTCACTGGAAGAGAGTGGGTACTTAATACACAGGGTTTTCTATTTTAAGTACCCATAGTTCCTAAGTTTTAAAGTATCTTGTACCATTTATTTGTAAACGCTATTGTAGAAAAAACTAAGTACAAAAAAAACCCTTCTGACATGACAGTCGTATAAACTACTTTTATAGTGAAAGGTGGTAGATAATCTCAAAGACAATTACAAAACCTTTATCATCTCCAACCTCAGGCCTCGTTATTTAAACCATAGTTAATGTCAAGTCAAATACATAGTTAATGTGTAAAATTTTGACATATGGTTAATGTCTCTCAATTATTTTAAACTTAGTTATGTTTTTATTTTTTAAGCATTTAACTGCTAGATGTTTAAATCTAAACAAAAGTTTAGTAGAAAAAAATCCACGCGGACCAGGCAGCAGACGGGAC